TAGAAATAAATTGAGACAACGATCAAGTTTGGATTCATTTGTGACTTGACGTTCCTCTTCTACGAAAGTGAATCCTACAATTGAGTGATTTATCATGTTGCAGGCCAAGACATATTAATTGACTATTCACTGGTGTACCGAACCGTTCAGCAGGGGCGGCGAAACCATTGAACAGGGATAGCCAAACTGTCCAACAGAGGCGACACATCCTTTGCGGATGTTAACTCAACGTTCGTTAAGTACGTCTATCCTTACAAGCATGTTTGCAACTAGTATATGATATTATCACTTTAGCTAGATTAGAGGAATACGTCTAGAGTAACATTTTGAAAGCTAGAATGTATCATACTCGGTTATCATAATCGTGTAGTATAGGGATCAATATGAGACATAGTGGGTAATGTCCACGAAAATTTGCGCCTTTCTTCAAGAACGTTGACGTTCATATCTTCCCCTAGCGGTGGGAAGATTGTCTCATTGAAGTGAAAATTCGCAAAATAAGCAGTAAAGATATCGCTTGCTCTAAAGGGCTAGTGCAAAGGAGAATTGTAATAGACAAAGATTCTTAACCTCTATGAGGACCTATATTGGTACGTTGCGAGGTCACAACTTGGCATAGAAATTGCACACCAAAAAAATGTAAGTATGAAACGAAAAGTTCATACCTAGTAACCAATTGTAATGCCAAAAATGATTGGGTGGTGTTGGGCCTCAAGGTGCAACAACATAGCTACGTACAAGATTGCATTGCCCTATGCAGGAACCAAAAGCTTGGTGGATTCACCAAGGTTCAGACGATCAATTTAATTGCGCTTTATGATCCCTTTATGAGATTGTTTTTAAGGTGAACATTGGGAATTCAATGTTCAATCATAAACCCAAAACACATGCAACACTTATCGAAGCATCGTTGATATAAACTCTTCGGCATTATCCAGTTTTCCAGACTTTATAGGATAATTAGGGTGGTAAGCCCTGAAAATCGGCCATGAGGTTTTGCACCAATGTGTGTGGATAAACATGTGACCAATCCACAATTATTCCCTTGAATCCACTGTGAAAAAGGGTCGTTTCGTGTCCCAATTGGGATACAACCTATTAACCTCATAACAGCTTCAGGCTTCATATGTTAGAGGTGGTGCAAAGATATTCCACTCTATATCCTTCAATGGTTTCATTCATAATCATTGTTTTCTCAAATGTCCTTAAGACTCAATGACGTTTTTCCAGAATAGGGAGAATATAAGTTTTCTTGAATGGTAATTCAGTATTGTTCATACAATGAGGAGTGTGCCAATGCTTGTAATCAGGTTGGATAGACTTGGAATCGTTGTTGGGAAGGTGATTTACATATAATGTTAGTGTGCATAGTAGAACATGCATCCATACAACTAACTTTCCCTTATTCTGACATAATCACGTGTTTCACTGAATTCAGTCACACTTACAATACGTGATTCAATTAACTCATATTCAATAAAATATCAATAACATAATCCGGAATTAAAACAAACACCAAACTTGAATCCAAGAACATAGAAAACTGTTAACAAGTAAACCAAAAGTTACTAAGGGGATTCGCCCAACAAGGCCATCCATGTCCAAATTTTGGTCATCCAAATGTGTTAGGTGGAGCAAAATTAGTCTCACAAATTGACTACGAGAATGGTATTTCTCAACAACATTGGTAAGGCACAAACGGGTGCATAACCAATGATCAATTCCATCAAGACGGAAGTAGATTATGTAGGGTTGAGGTTTAGGAATACTGTATTTTATTCTTAAAGTTTTAGGTCTTATGTGCTAAGGATCACGCTTCTGGCTGTGATGCCACCCCTTGGCAGACCATGATTCTACCATATATTGTCAAAACAGACTATAAAGTGGGTGAGAAAGAAAGACAAACTTGGGTTCGAAAGGTTTTAATTACCATGTGAGTTTGTTCGGTAAATCTTTGTTGAAGTAGGGCTTGTCGTTCGGTAGGCTTTAATCGCAACTAGGTTGGGCCATTTGGTAAACTTTAACCGTGCTGGGTCTATACTGTTCAGTATCTTCCAGCCATATCATTGGGGTACCTCTCTCTCACATTTGTGGTAGTAATCAGATCATAGAATTTGGTAAACTTCTACTTTCTACACTACTGCTATAAGAGCAAGTTAGAGACATAGAAGGACGAGAAAAATATTCTCGAATAAAAATTTGATCAGATTTTATAAACTTCTGAATCATACCAATTCATGGACGTAAAAGGGTTTCAATCATGGTTTGCCGCATGCAATCATCTTTCATGATTAAATGGTCTATATGAGCGAGCCAAAGAGTTCTGGAATACTCGTTAAGGAGGTACTTCCATTTGTAATGCTTCGACATACGTTTTCAAATGAAGATCATGGTGGTGGCTTATTCAGGTATTCCATGCCATTATTGGTTTCAATGGTTTCTCAGCTTCTTGATAGTCAAGTGGAGATTCACATCTTGTACCCATATAAAGTCGTTTATATTAGGAACTTTCAAATTATGGGAATCGAACTCGTGATAGTTCGTCAATCCATTGAATGGGGGACCAAGATTGTGATTGGTGCTATGGGAAATAAAGCATCTATAAGCATCAAAGTTAGAATGTTCAGGTTCTAAGACATGGTTTACATGAAAAAATTCGGGTTTCCATGGGTGTATTGTTTTATGAAAACATCTGGTTTCAAAGGCAAACTACAAATTCGAGTTTAGTATGAATTTCCAGTTCATAAAATGGAGGTACCTGTAAGAATACGAAATACAATATATACAACTAAACTGTAGTGAATTTAGGTTGCTTCAGGAACTCAAGTGTGAGTCAATTCGGAAAAACAAAAGGATGTCAGCGGTTCAAAGAAAAGAAATAAAATATTGAATCGTTAATGTCCAAAAGTGGGCTTCAGGCCAATTATTTTGGATTTTTGTCTAATTAATGGATTGCTAGTTACTTAAATTAATTCAATAGATCGAGACCATTCTGGATCGATCGTGAAAGCATAATAATAACGTTCAGGGTCATATTAGCTTTGGTTGGCTTCAGACCAAGCGATAACGAAAATATGGCCTACTATTGCTCTAACGAAGAACATCCAAAAATATTTGGGTATAGTTAAGTAGCCGGGGATACCAAAATATGGCATTAGGTAAAAAAAAATAAAAAAAAAAAAAAAAAAAAAGAACGCAACGAAACGAAACACGTGATGGTTGGCTACAAAATGGGGCACGGCCTTACAGCAAAGTTGTAGGCCTTGGGCTCGGGAACACGGGCTGTACAGCAGCCCAGTAGATGTAAAGCAGCGAGCTGAGGTTAGTAAAAACCCAGTGAGCCTCATGCATGCTAAAAACAGGCTGAGCACCCAACAAGCATCAAGCTTGCTGGAAATGGGCCAGGGCGCGGGAGACAGCTTAGCATGTTGCTGGCTGTTCTGGTATGGATTGAAGGCATTGTAGGGCCAGCAACAGACAGCTCAGAACAGCTTCGCGCTTTATATGCGAGGGCTGTTTACCTTTGTTGAACGTCGAAACGACGTTGTCCCAGGCATATGCTCAGTGCGACTTAGCGGCATGACATCTAGTGCGATTCAGCGCGACTAACGAGGCTTCGAGGCGCAGCTTAGACGCTGTTTATCCTTCTTTTTTTTCGAAATTTCCAGGGTTTGGTAAAACCTAATTGCTTATATTTTCTTCCGATTATTTGACTCACAAATTCAACATAACAAATTTATAATTGCTTTATGCACAAAATTATATTATTAACAAATATATGAACATATACAATATATATATGTACGGAGTTTATGCATCATGAAGAATGTTTTCATGTATCGTGGTTCTTGAAAATATCAAACATGGAGGAGAACTTGATTGGCAGAAATGAAATTGAGCCTTTGAATTTGTAAAAGATCTTTCTAAAAAAGCCGAAATTTCATCTCTCATGCGTTGTATCACGTTCAACAAAAAAAAAAAGGTTAAATTGAATGAATAGCATGTAGATCAATTCAACGAAATAAAAGAAATAACTCAATGATTAGAACGTAATACTCCTGTGAAAGATGAGCAAACTCTCTTTAGTGCTATGTAAAAAGCGTCCTGATAACGTGACATGTCATTGGCCTATTTGACTGAAGAATTGTAGAGAGATTGAGAGAGAGGATGTGGCAAGCATAGAGAAAATAGGGTGAATTTTGAATTATGTTTTCTTACTCGTGCCTTCATTTATAGTAGTTAGAAAGGTTAATTTCTTAACCCCAACAGAATTACAACTCTAATAGGATAATATCTAAAGTATAAGATATGGTTGAATCTCATAAGGATTTCTTAGGATTTATATAATCACATTCTTAAGATAATTAGGACGACTTTTTAGCCAAAATGGTCATTGAGATTTGCATAACTTCTCACTTTGATCCTTGAGATTTGAAATAATAGAACCCTGAGTTTGTCCACCATCATTCATTTTGGTCATTCGTTGAAAAATCTCCATTAAATAAGGATGAAATGACAAAAATACCCTCAATTTTTGTCAAATCATTTTGGCTCATTATTTATTAAATTGAGAGTATTTTTGTCATTTGGTCTTTAATTAACATAATTATTCAAGGAATGACCAAAATGATTGATGATGGACAAACTCAAGGACCACTCTTATTGATTTCAAATCTTAAAGACCAAAGTGATGAGTTGCAAATTTCAAGGACTATTTTGGCTAAAAAAAAACCTAATTAGTGAATGAGGTCAATGAGCTGGGAGAGACGGCTTTGTTCACGGCGGCGGATAAAGGGCACCTTGATGTGGTTAAGGAGCTGTTGAAATATTCGAATCGGGAGACCGTTACAAAGAAGAACCGGTCCGGGTTTGATCCCTTGCATGCTGCTGCAAGTCAAGGACACCACGGTAATGGTCTTCAGCATTTGTGGTCTCTCTTGTTGACGAAGACTAGGTCGCAATCCGTTACGAAGAAGACCACGAACGAACGAACTCAACGTTGTTGAAGCAGATCGCTTCCCTTCATTGTGCAGGGTTGTTGCCCTTCAGTACATTAAAGAAGGTCAATACGCAAGAGACTTGAATTCTACCGTGTCGATGATTCAGGATTATTTCAGTGGCATTTCCCCAACACACGATGGTCTGGACGTGGTCTTGATCGACATAGATGACATTCTTTCTTCAAATCGTAGACTGCACCGGTAATTTAATCTCCTTTTAGTCCTTGAAGCATTTGTTCTTACATAGTTCCGTCTTTCGAGCTATCCATTTCCTTGTGCACAGATATGATCGGTATGGTGGTAGTGATTTTGTGGAAGAGGCAAAGCATCTGAAGCAGATGTTTATTCTGAGATTATATATGGAACTTCATGTTGGTGGTTGGCCTTTGATTCTGCTCTCAAGAAAACCGGAGGCAGAGCGAAATTCTTCCACAGAGGATCTTATATCTGCAAGAGAGACCACGAACGAAGACTAGGTCCAAAAAAAAAAAAAAGTTATTGGACCCGTGGACCCGTCCCGAACCGGCCCGTTTGATACGGGCCGGGTTAGGTCCGGTTCCCAAACTTAAAATCCCTACACCCGGCCCGGCCAGGCCCGTTACATTTTAAAACGGGTAGGTCCGATTCTTCCAAATTTGGGCCCGGCCCGGCCCGTGCCCAGCCCTAATCTACATTATCTAAATTTAATATATTTTCTGCTATATTAATTTGTTTCAATCCTCTCAAATATGGAATACTATTTTTTCTAGGTGGTTTCATCATACTTTTTTCTATGTAATCTACTCTAGCTTGTTCTTCGTATTGTTCATTTTTGGTATAAAAAAATTTTGATCAATTTTACCTGTGTATCCTAGATTTTCTACTCTCGATATATTACTTTCTTCTGCTGGATTACATTCTACTTTCAATTCTAATAAATTATTATATTCTTTTGATCCTAAAATATGTTCTACTCCTATTTCTAAAATTAATTTTTTCATCTCTTAATTTGAAATTTTATGTAGTCCTATATCATATGTCTTATATTTTTCTAAGTATTGTTCTTCATCTAAATGATCAATATCTTCTATAAGCTTATTAACAATATGATCAAAATTTTGCTCAACTAACTTAATATCTAAATTATCAAAAACCATATGAATATTCTCATTTTCAAACTCACTCTCATGCTCTTCTATATTTTGTAGTTGCTTGTAATTACTAAACCTAATTGTTGTTTTACCTGTACTAGTTTCATATATTTGTATTCTATCTAATTGTCTATTTTTTGCTACTTGTAAATTAAGTAATGTCCACTGAGTTTATTCTAAAAAGCTATTATCTACCGGTTTTTCTTCTATCATATTTATATGCTTACTACCAAATGTTTGAAATAAATTTTGAAATTCTAAATTAAACTTATGATTATATTTATCAAACACTTTTCCAATATACATTAAACTAATACAAAAAATTTTATACTCTCCTTTCATATTATATTTTTTTTTGTTCTTATGCTTACTCATAACATAATTTGAAATACATCCTATGATTGCTAAATTTGAACTTAAGTCTACTTCAGCTGTTGCTATTACTGCTTGTTGGTGATTATCCCATCTATTATCATATATGTATACTAAAGTTTTTGTGCCTACTTATACTCTGGTTAATCCTGCTATTCTAATTAATATTGTTCCTATATAAATCTGACTAAAATGTAATTTTCTCAAATGCATAATTGCTTCCTTACTAAGTAAATTAAGTGTAACTTCTTTATCAATATAGCTAATTTCATGTTGACTCACACTACTTACAATTCTACTTCTATTTTCAAATAAACCTAATCGGTACAAATTATATTTATTTTTTTGTGTTTTCTCAAATCCTCTTCTAATAAATTCTTGTGCTTCTTCTTCATTTAGATAAATATCTTCAGCTCTTACTACTTCTTTTCCTTTTCTCCCAAGAGTTCCATTTGTTGTTATCAAAAGGATTTATCTTAGGTCTTCTAATATTATTATTTGCACTTAAATTTAAATTTTCTAATTTTTTTGGCAAAGATGGTAGAAGTGATCAAGATGCGTTATGTAAAACTTGGTTTATTTATGCTATTTGTTCTTCAACTTGATTTAATTTTTCAGCCAAACTTAAAACTAATTGAATAATTAAATTATTTTGCCTAATGGGAATATTACTACTAGCTACCTGTGTTGAAAAATTTGTTAAACCTACTGGTTTTTAATCTAACTTACTAATTTCTTTCAAAGTTTGGATATATTTTCTGCTAGTTCTAGAATCAGTCATTAAACTAATAATCTATCTATTTTCTTATGCAACTTATCTACTTGTTCACTCAAATCTTTTTGCACTAATTGAATTTTTTGAACTTTTAATTTTAACTGCTCAATTATTTCTATTTTTATCTCTCTTTTGCTAGGAAACCTTTGAATATTTTTATTATTATCTTCTAACAAAGATGAATATAATCTAAATTTTGTCTAATTGTTTTTATGGAATTTTTCTGAAAATGCTCTAACAACTGGTTTAACAAATAACTATGCTTATTATTTTCTAATTTTATATTTTCTGCTTGACTAATAATAAGATCTACAATACTTTTGGCTTGTGGATTTTCTGCACTATGCAAAATATGGTTATACTTTCTCAATGGAAAATAACAAACTAAACTATTTTGGTCTTAGGTTATTTTTCTTTTTTGTGGTTCACAAATTTTCAAATTAAGGTAATCTATCATAAACTACAGTGTACCTTTATCTAAAGTTACGGCTAACTGGTTTCTTAGAATCTCTCTTTCTTCTCTCAGGATCTCTAAAGTTTGATATGTTGCTCTTTTTGCTTCTAAAACTCTATGCTGCACTTATGTGTTATTATATTTACAAATAAATGAAGGATGTTCAAGATAACCAAGATAAAACTTCTGCTTCTTCAAAGTCATGCTAATTCTTTTGAATATATATGCTAATTTTCTCTTCATGCTAGTTATAGTTGGATGTCTAGGACAATAAATACCTAGTGGTTGTGGTTGACAAGGTCTACAAGGACAATAATATGCATTATTCATACAAAATTAAACAAGTGTGATATCAGTTGTGTTAATGACTTCCGTCCTCAAGGTACTTTACTATTATTATTATACTATTAAAATACTAAACTTGGCTTTGATACCAAATTCGATAAGCAAGCCCGGTTAAATAGTCGGATGGCCATTATAACAACTAGATATAAAACCTTGCACATGGAACTCGACATGTTTTGGCATGACGACCATTCACAATGCATGTATAAAGCCTTAACGGTTGAACTCAGAGGTACAAAGAACTTAGAGGTACCTTGGTTAATGTCCAATTATTTGTATGACAAATATTCAAATATAATAGAGTGCTCGAACAAAGTATGATCGTCAGTTTAGTAGGTTAATAATATAACTACAATAGTGTTTCCTTATTTTGGACTAGAAGTCTATTTAAACAAACACACTAAAGAAAGAAAAGAAAACTTACTTAAGATTTGGAGATTGCTTAAATCTATACACTTGAACTTTTATTGATATATAGAATGTTTACAAAGAGAAGTGTTTACAAAGGCTATTAGGAAGGTTTCAGATGCTTGAGTGTATGAGGATTGAAGTATGGTGTGTGTATGGTGTGAGTATCTGGTGTATGGTTACAATGAATGGAACTCTTCTTATATACATTGAATGAGAATACTATGGTATTAAAATTCTTTACAAATGAATGGTGTAGCTGTATCCTTGGTACTTGTCTTTTGTCACTTTGCTTCTACTGTTGCTGAAATTGTCGGCACTGTTTTTGAAACGTGGTCTAACTAATTTTGTCTTGTTTTGATGAATGCATGTGAACTTGCTTGTCTCCTTTTGCATGTCAACTTGTTGCATGGCTTGTCTCCTGGAGCCCATAAATTTATCCCCTTTTTTTTTTTTTTTTTTGGGTATTTGCTTTGATGAAGAGCATGTGACTTCTGATGGATGTTGGAGATTAGGATACTTTTGCCCTTTTCTGTTAGAAGGTTTTTAAGGGTAACCTTGTCGTTTTTGAAATTATTTGTCCTTATGGTTAAATGAAAATTTTCTAGGGTTTTTCCATTAGTTTTCCTTAAAATAAAATGGTATTATTCTGCCAAAGCCAGACTATCACACCCACATGTCTGCCAATATGGTGACTATGAGATTAGTAAGTTGATATTGTGTTTTTCTTCGAGCACCTTTCAATCAATACCTCAAAGTTTGTACCTAATTCTTTAACAACTTTTATAAAATAATACATTATTCATTTATTCATCCGTAAAGTAGATAGAGAAAGATTTTCATCCGCTTCCCAAGGGGTTACAATTTTTTGGAGAAGCTTATTTACTCTATATGTGATGCACCAACCCAGTATATATATATCATCGATATTTTTTTTTTTAATTTTGAAGTAAAAGATTTATGGATGAACTTCACAATTTAGATAATATATCCAAATTGTTGCAGTCCTATTAGATTAGGAATGTGATTGTGTAAATCCTAGTAGATCTAGGAATATCTCATTATATTCCTATTAGGAGTTGATTACCTATTAAGAATTGTAATTCTAAAAGGGTAAAAAATTTACCTATCCTACTATTATAAATAAAGGTACAATAGGGTTAAATAGAACACACCTCACAATTACACATCTCTCTCTTTCTCTCTACTATTGATGCACCCCTCTCTCAGGCCTTCATAATTGTTTAGTAAATTATGCCTACAATACGTTATTAGCACGCTCTTGACGCTGTGCTAAAGAGAGTTTGATCTTCAATTAGGGGAGAACTACGTTTTAATCATTCTTTTTATGATTAATTTATTATTTTATTGAATTATCTGCATGCTATTGATTCAATTTATTTTTTCTGTGTTGAATGTGATACAAAGCATTGGAGATGAAATTCCGGCTTTCAGAGAATGATCTTCTACAAATTCAAAGGCTTTTGTTGTTTTCTGCCAATCAAGTACGCTTAAAATAAAGAAAGATATTTGAAATGACCATGAAGCATGAAAACATTCCCCATCATGCATGAACCCCCTACATTCATATTTACCTTCCGATATATATATTATATATGTTCATATATTTTGTCAATATATATAATTGTTCATGCATTACGCATATATGCTATGTGGAATTGTGAGTCAAAGAATTGAAATTAATTTAGAAGCAATTAGGGTTTTAAACCCTAGAATTTCGAAAAATAAAAAAGAAAAAAAAAAAGGAAACATTGCGGCACCACCGTAGGATAGCGTCGCCCCGATGACCTGGAGCACCTGTGCAGCCCTCTTGGCTTGCTGCACTTATAGGACCCAACCAAGCTTTGACTTGGGTCATCTATCACACGGGCCTGCAAGCCTTGGTACACTCGAGCCCAAATTAGCATGCCAGAAGCATGATGGGTTTACCCCAAACATGGGCCTGAAGCCCCAACCCATCTACAACAACCTCTTTGGCTTGTTGGG